CTGCCTTACATTTTGGAAGTTCTAAATCTCTTACAAAATCATTTAATTCTGACTGTGTTATTTTGTGCGGTTGGTGGCATGACGTGCTCGGTATAAAATCAGGATCTCTTGACGTTGATGGCATATCTTCTTCCTGACGAATCACTCGATCGCCATGATCTGATTCGTTTTGTGATTCGCAAGTGCAGGATTCTGGGGGTTTTGGAATAGGATTTTCATCACTGTGTTTGGGTAGCTAATAACTGATTTTTTTTCTTGGACATACCTGTGGCTTGTCCAACACAAGGTACCATGTAAAAGTAACAATCATTAATATGATTTGTAGGCTCTCTCCAAACCATTGGGACAGCAAAGCGCATAGACCGTTTTTTGCCATTTAACCAGCTCCTCAGACTTCAAGCACATGTATTACAGCAGATGTGGGGTGCCCACTGTTTGTCTTGATCACCTAGTTTACAACCGAAATAAAGCTGATATGCCTTTGTTATTAGTGGAGTAATAGACCGTCTCTGAGACGCAAAAGTCACATCACCACACACGAAACAAAACTGATCTGGATTGTTTACACACTTTCGAGACATCTTGCATGAACGCTGTCAGCCAACTGAGGAAAAAATGGCTAATATAAAACAATATAATGTACACGTATGTATAACGTAACACAATCATGCCGATTACATCATCTTTCCTTGCCGAATATAAAAATGTAGCACGTGCATTCTTGTGAATTACAGTATATTAACACTGTCACATCAGGAACACATATAATTACCGTATCTCTAAAACTTGAACTAATATTGAAAAAATAAGTTTCATTCCGGTTTTAGCACATTAAAAATAGTAATATTTTGTTGATTTTATTTAGGATATTTTTTGGCTATTGATCAGTGTTATTATAGGAAATTAATACATAAACATGACCATGAATAACAGTAAAATTGACACAAAAAATATACAGGGTATTATTTAAGTAGCTAGCCAAACTTCGGGAGGTGATTCTTTAAGTAATTTTAAGATGAAAATTCAATATAAACATAGGTCCAGAAATGCTTCATTTTTAAGATACAGGGTGTCGAACATTTTTTGTTCAAAGTTAGCAGTGGTATTAAGGGCACTAAGGGACTAATTTAGCCCCAATTAGATTGAAATTATTAAGTCCAGTGTGGTCACAAAAATCACCTTAACCGATAACTTTGACAAAGAATGTGTGTGCCACTGACTTTTTTATTTTTCAATTTTTTTTGCATACGCAGCTAAAAATACCACTTTGTCTCCCGAGTTTCTTCCATATCTCACTTCGTTTGCGAGATAAAAAATAAAAAGCATTTCATTGCATGTTTTTGATAATTAAGTTACACGAAAGTCGTCTTCGGATGTTTTGCTCAGATTATACCTGTTTTCGATAAAACAAATAAACATAAAGTATTTACATAACGTTATTTATTGTTGCAATGTTTTGCCTGTGGCGTTTCACATAGGTAATGCTAGAAATAAAAAAAATCGAACCGAAAAAACGTCTTTTTAAAACTACACTAAGGGTAGAATCCACCAGGATTGTCAAGTCAACAAGCCGTTATCCTCCACCTATAGGGTAACAGTCGTCAAATGTAGCGAATGAGCTTCAAGATCCATTCAACAAATTTTAGCAACCGTAAGCTAGGAAATATTGAGAAAAATATGAGATGACAGGTTGTCATTGAAACATCACCAGCTTATTGAATATTAAAAAATTACATATAATTCAGTCAAACTTTAAAAAAGTTTTTGGTTTTTAAATAAAATACATGTTTTTTTTAGTATTGTTTTTTGTTTATTCATGTTTATATTATTTTATTCAATTGATATGCGGCTTTACTCTTTTAACATCACCTACCGTGTATTTTCCCATATAAACCTACTTAATGTCACTCTTCCAAAAATTTCATTCATATTGCTCGTTTCCACACATTCATTCATTTACTTGCCGTTCATCAGTATCATTATGCCACCTGAGATTGATATTCGCACAAAACCATTCTGAACTTGTGATATCCATACATCCATAAAGTTGAATATTTTTCGTTGTTCAGCAACTGAACAAACATCCACACGATATTTACAGCGATTAAGAAATACCCAATATATGTATATGTCGTAAAGCTAAAATCTGCAAAAAAACTAGAATCTGCAATAATTTTCTGTTTTCACCAAGTACACATTATAGGTTATGTTAGACATTATATTGGAATAACAGCTGATTATCTCCTGATAGTTAAAAACTCTCCGACAAGTGACACTTTGCGAAAATCAGCAGCCTCACATCAAATATTGACGAATATGAATGGATATGCATACAATCTAGAATATAAATTCATATTGTAGGTTTCAGATTGTCTATGCATGGACTTGAACCGGATTCTTCGATATTTTTACCGAAATGAGAATATTTACCGAAAACGTAATTTTCCACGATTTTAAAAAATAGTCCAAATATTTCCATACTTGCCGAAAAACAGTTGGAACCAAAAATTAAGCTAAAAGTTTTATGTCGTCTTCGTATTTTTATGCCCCATACCAATCATACATATGCATACACACTCAGGCAATCGGGCACACGAGAGGCGTAGATTTGGGTTGCCTATGATTACGGACGCACATCGTCATTCCCTTGCTCCGCTTGACTTGAATTGATTTTTGTGCATACAAAAGGTACAGACTGGTAGATTACTGTCTTTACCGCATCACCGGACAAACAATAAAGAAACCGTCTGTTTTCAAAATAAATATTTAATTAAAATGTGAGGTGACTTCTTGAGTTCAGGGGTAAAACAGAAAAATATTCGCAATTCCATAAGCCAGAATCAAAAAGGAGTTTCAAGAATGGTCGCAAAGGACTTTGAAAGAGCAACCAGTATGCACATTGTACAAGCTGTAATATGGAACTATGCTTTCAAAGAACATATGTGCGCGCTCAATACAATAATAAACGTTTTTCATAAACGGCGCTGCGTGACTCAAAGGTCCTTGACCGATCACTGATATTGGGACGACATTTTTCTCTATACCGAATTCGATGCTATTTACCGATTCCGTTTTTTTTTCGGATCGCCAATCCTGCAGATCACTTCAAAAACAATTGATATCCCAGAAGCGTTATATTAAATTAAAAATACGAAGAAAATATAACAAGTTTTGCAAGTATTTTCCTAAATAGGTATTTTTGATTCTGACTTATAATATCTAGACGATGAATAATAGGTGGATGCGGATACATTTACAAATACAGGGTGTCCGCAAAGTTGGGGGTTTCCTTTACACGACGTGTAGATCTTGAAAACATAAGCAATTTTTCTTAGTACCACATACACCAATGTCTTAAGAGAACCGAGATAAAGGGCTCGGCAACATCAAAAATATCTGAATACCGTCCGGTAGCCGCGGCATCACCGACTGGTACAAGGTCACTGGCTCAACCCGACGACAGAACTGGGTCGGGGTCAGTGTGTCAAGTCAGTATGCAACCTTCAACCGACGGTTACGGTCACGCGTGTAGAGGTAATCGCGTAGACGAGAATCCCTCAACAAGCACTAGAGACGTGGCTAGAGAAGTGCAAGTATCAAAAACTAAAGTGTGGCAAACGCTGCGTGAAGAGGGGCTGTATCCGTTTCACGTCCAACGTGTACAAGCCCTTCAACCTGACGATTTTCCAGCAAGAGTGCGGTTTTGTGAGTGGTTGTTGCATCAACATGACAATAATCCGGACTTTTTGACGTGCATATTGGTGACAGACGAATCTACGTTCACGCGTAATGGGGTGAATAACTTTCGTAACACTCATGTTTGGTCAGTAGAAAATCCGCACGCTGTCCGTCGGGCACATTTTCAACAAACATTTTCGGTGAATGTTTGGGCTGGCATGGTGAACGGTATGCTCATTGGACCATTTATTCTCCCAAATCGATTGGACGGGATGCAATACCTAGACTTTTTACGCAACATTTTGCCTTCCTTGTTAGAAGATGTGCCATTAAGTGTAAGACAATCAATGTGGTTTCTGCGTCTGCTCGGTAGCGCTTCAGCTGATTTCATTTTCTGTTGGAGCGGTATGATTTCTGGCAGAGACGTACTTAGCCCTTCTCGTCAACTGGAGAGCGAGTACTTTTTCCTTTATTTTTTTTTTACTTGGTCACTCTCGTTTCACTACACATTACCTTTGTTATTTCAAGGGTAGTTGTTTCTGAAAAGGAAAACCCCAACTTTGCGGACACCCTGTATAGATGTTTTAGGACCCAGGAATGCAGAATGTGCGGTTTGTTTACATTTGGTGTGGATTTCTAGATCATAAATTGGCAATAAATTGTTTTTGATATGATCATATGATTACATCTATAATGTACCCTTAATTATAAAGCAATATAAATTACTGTCACATTGCATTTCGATAAGCTGCTCCTGGAAGCCTCCGTCAAATTTAAGCATTGATTTAAGTTATGTCAATGTCAGATTTGTTTAGTAGCAATTTCTTTTCATGGCACTGTTATGACTTTTAAAACGTTGCTGTTATACATTATTACGTTATGCGATTATATTATGTAATCGAAATAAGTTTGAAATATTTGCGAAAAAAATGAAGAGACGACTTTCGTCTAAGGTTAATTGCTTAACCAGTTTGGTGGTTTTATGATGTTATTGTGCCAGAGACATGCAATAAAGTGCTTTTTATTTTTGTCTCGCGACCGAAGCGAGATATGAAAGAAGCTCAGCGATCAAAAAAGTTTTATTTTTAGCTGCTTGATACGAAAAAATTGAAAAAAGTCAGTGGCGCACAACTTCTTATCAAAGATGTTGGTTAGGGTGGTTTTCCGGGACGCCACTGGACTTAATAATTCCAAAAACAGATTTTTTATATGAACTTTTCATCTTAAAATTAGTCAAAGAATCTCCTCCGTGTATGTTATGAATAAAATCTTGTTCTAAACGCTGGCGCCGTATGACGGAACGACTGTTTATGTTGTTGCAGAGGTAGACCTGGACTCGACCCGAGCGTGGTGTCCACGCGCCGGTTGTGAGACTGTCTGTCGACTGTGCCCCACGCAACGGTGCGCGCCTCAAAGCGTCTTCTGCCCCACTTGCGCCACCGACTTCTGCAGCAATTGCAAACAGGAATGGCACGACGGAATCACCTGCGAACAATTGGAGGCGCAAAAGCAAAAGGTATTTATTCATTTCAAAACAGGACCAGCGGTATTATTTTTGAGTGATCTTGGATCACAGCCGACGTCAACTACGAGCCGTGATGAAAGAAAGGCAACACCGCGCTCGGACGGCATGGTAGTCCGTGTAACGTTCAAGAACTAAATTTAATTTTGGAAAAGAGGACAGTTCGATTCGATACAAATCGTCTGAATATGAAATAGCTCTAAAAAATTTAAAAATACGAAATAATCGTGATATATATGAGTCGTTAATGCAGTTAACCTAATTAAAAGTATTTAGTTTACGTTTTTTGGTGTCAGCACACTGTGTTCCAACAGGCCCAGCTTGGAAATGTGGAGTTACCTGTTTGTTTTTAATACATTTACTTTCAGTTTTACTGTTATTCTTCAATTTTACATAATCATTCAAAATTATGTTTGAAAAAATAGACAAAAGCTTAGATAAAATATCTGCATAATTGCGGCCATAGATGCAAGTTAAAGAAAATTCACTGTAAGGTTAACTGACACAAAATAAATTTTTGATTATTGCTTTTCAAGAAGAAAATTTCCAATCTATCTACATTAATAATAGATTCAAAAATGGCATACATATGGTAGAATATGATTGGTACATAACTGGTTGGAATTGACAGTCTCCTTGACTCCTCTTTGCAAATGATCAAAATAAACATTTGTTGTTAATGAACCTTTTTCTTTAACTATTAGCGATTTGCATATCTCGCAGTTTAGGTTTTTAGAGATAGCGTGTGAAGCATATCCAGATATATAAGTCTTAGTACTATCCTCTATGTCACAATTGGCTAAGTAATTTGTCTCAAATACTTCATTGAATATATCCAAAACTTCAAAAGAAATCAAAATTTTCTTGAGTTTCTAAGCAGTTTTGGAACCTTGTTTTAATTTCTGATAAAGAAAATGACGATTTCTTTTCATTGAAAATATGCTTCAGCCGTATTTTCTTTTCAGCATTTAAATTATCATCATATGACACATTGTAATTGCAGCCACATAAAAGTCTATAATTGCCAAATCGTTTTTCTAAATTATCAGTGGTGAATTTTCCAGGCAATACATACTCAATGTCAAATTGATTAAATGAATATTCAATTATATTAAGTAGAGTCAGCGTGCTTTGATATTTTCTAACCATATCAGGAATTTTTTTAAAAATTGTACTCTATAATCATATTTATTGGTAATATGCTTACAAAATTCGTTTCGCTTCAATTCTCCTTTTATTACTCTTGTATTACTGACAATATCCCACCAATTCCTGATTATTTCCAAAAAGTGTGCAGCATCATTAAACTTTAATTCTTTCATAGCAACTATTGTTGAGTGATGGAATAAATTATCTACAAAATTTACATTTTGCCTTTCAAATGAATTTGGATGTAATGTTTTATAATTTAATTTATATGCTTTCTTAACTACAGCTTTTTTTTCCAATTGATATACAGCACGAATGTTTTCAAATTTAACATACTGAATAAATTATTGTCAAAATTAGGATATACAAAAGTTTTGTCTAGGTTTTTTAAATTAATCCAATTATTTCTGATACTCTTGAAAATATGCACAACATCATAAGTTAAATATATGTTCTTATCAGGATTATGTGGATTTGGAATAGAATAATTTTCTGATGAATTCTTTGCTAATTTCCTGAACATTGCTCTATTAATTCGGTGATTATCAGTAACAACACAAATAACTTCAAATCCACATTTTTGAACTAAATTTATCACATGTTCAACCAAAGGTGTCATTTCATCACCTGTTAGATTTGAAACTGGTAGTAATTTGATAATTTCTGTTATGTTTCCAAATGCTGAAGATAGCATGAAGGCTAAAACAGTTTTAGCCATGTCATTTTTATTTGAGGCATACCCAACAATGTTTTGTGAGCGATAGTCCAGCCTAGATGTTATATAAATTTCATCGATCATCAAAATTACAATTTTTTCTCTTGGAGCTAATTTAATTGCTATATTCGAAAGGTAGTGTTCATTATTCCTATCATTTTTTGGAGATATATCCATACTTTAGGAGATATGTTGTAAATATCGCTTACTTGGCAAAATAAAAAATCTTTTAATTAAATTATATGTTGATGATGAGTGGTTATAAAACGCAAAAGCCATTATTATTGAAAGTGATGCATATCTGTTTTTCCTGTTTTGAATTTGTCTCAGCTGATCAGCAATAATCTCTAGATTTTTTGTATATGGAAACATAACTGAGTCATTATTAATTATGGAAATCGCTGTGTCAAGTTGTTCCAATGCATTCATGATGCAAACTTCAACAGAGTTTTTGTGTTGGTTCTCAGAAAAATAGAAAAAATACCTATTTAGCAGGTTTTCTAATTGGGACCATCTGGTAATTTTGAGATCATATGGCAAAACCCACTTCAAGTCACTAAAAGAAAGCTTACATCCTTTATGAACAACCTGAACTTCCATCTGACCATCAACTATAATCTGTGTATTCAAAGTTAAGATATCATTTTCAAAATCCAATTTATAAAAATATAGCTTTCCATCAGATAATTTATTATTCCATTTCTGTGAGGCTTTAATTTTTGAAAATGAAGAATGTAATTCTTGAAAGTCTTTGATCTTATCCATATCATTGAAATTCTGGACAGCCTTTTCATGTTTCTCAATTAATTTTTGTTTTCTTTGCATTGGGTCAGTTCTTTTGGGTGCTTCTGTTTTTGAAAGATAGCTTTCTGTTTGCAAAGCAGAATTATAGTTTGCATTGCATAAAGGAACACAGCAACAACGAGGCATATTGTCTGCGTCAAATACTTGATAAATGAAAAAAGAAAAATACTACCTGAATTTGCACGTTTTCAATAGTTGAAATCCTTAGCATCCTGAGGCGCGAACAGCCATAGTCACACTTCTTAGTTTATTTTTAAAGCACACAAGCACTACAACTGGAGTCTATTTCTCATATATTATAGTCACCGATCACTTTGAACACATACACACACTTTGAAGCTTAGAAAACAAGCTTATCTCTTAATTACAGCCTCTTCGATTCCCAAATCACAAATTGAAAAGGTTTTGTTTTCTCAGCGTTTTGAGCGGCGAGAGTAACACTATCACCTACGTTGCCAGATTCCTTTGTTCACGGCTCGTAGTTGACGTCGGCTGTGCTTGGATTTGAACGTCGCCTTTAAGGTCATTTTTTTCAAATAGAAATCCGCAGGAACAGTATCGGCTGTTATTTTCGTCACTATTCGTGTGAGATTTCCAGAAGTTTTCCGAGCAGCACCCATTTGACCTTTACGTGACCTCTAGTGGTCACATTGACCTTGAATTCTAATACACATTTGAACATAAAATTTCCGGCTCTCCAGAAGTTGAAGTTTCAAGGTCAAATCCAAGATCACTCATTGAAATTTACCAAAGACCTATCCTTTTTGTATTACTGATACTGTGAGAATTATAAAGGTTTTCCTAGCAGCACACATTTGACCTTTATATGGTACCCTCACCTTAGAATTCAATTCATATTTGAAAGAAACATTTTTGACTCTTTCGATTGTCGGTATCATAAATAGGGATTTCCTTTAAAAACATTATGTTGACCTTGAAGATGAGGCTTAAGATCGAATCCAAGATCACTTCAGTGCATAGTTAAAATTAACCAAAGACCTTGATAGTTGTTGTATTACTGCTCCTGTGAGAATTATAAAGGTTTTCCTAGCTGCACAGATTTGACCTTTAGATAGCATCCTGACCTTGGATTTCAATTTTTTTTTTGGATTTCGATCACCAGCACAAAAAATAAAGATTTCCATTAAAAACATGAAGTTGACCTTGATGTGACCTTGAAGGTGAAGCTCAAGGTCAAATACAAGATCACTATTTACTTATTCGTTAAAATTTACCAAAGGCCTGACCTTGATAGTTGTTTTCATTATTAATCCTGTGAGATTTATACAGGTGTTCCTGGCATAAATTTTCCCGTTTTCTCGATTGCCGGCATCAAAAATAGAGATACAAAAAGCTTTTTTTTTTGTTTGAAACACTCAAGTTTAGCTGAAAAGAAACATGTTTAAAACCCTGTTAATACATGTTTAAAACAAAACAAAAAATTTTAAAACTATTGCTTTTATAATCTAGTAACGTTAATGAGGATCCTTGAAAGTGTTATTACTGGTGGTGTGTTTTGTTTTTTGTGCATCAAAGATCGGCAAAAAAAAAAGGCAATGACAGGGAGGAGAAAGGATCTCGTGTGGAAATCTTTTAAGGAGACTAATGCCAAAGCTGGCTCGAAAATAAATAAAAGAGCAAAATGTTTAACCTGCATTATGGATGTAGTGCTACTGGTGGATAGAATGCGCAAGCATATTAAACATTGTAAACAACTTACACAAGGAAGTTTGTCAGAAAAACAAAATATTCACATATCAGATAGTTCTGATACCGACAATGGTGATGTTTCTACCGAACCTATTTCCTCAAACTTAAGTAGCTAGATCATCTATTCCAATGACTTAAAGTGAATCTAGAGCAACGCGAAGAAGATCTTGAGTATGCCTCTCGTTATTATCCTGAAGCGATGCCTTTTATTGTAAGTTATCAGGCAAAAACATCTCCATTAAAGGATTATTTATTTCAAGACAATTTGAAAGGCCTCACACCACTTGTTTGGTGGAAGTCCCTACACCACTTGTTTGGTGGAAGTCCTTGAAAGATTACTTAAATGAAGTTACAGTTGACCTAGTTCAGCAGCTTCGTACAGCAGCTGCTTGATCTGCTGGACTTGAGCGTATTTTTTCTTCATTTCGGATAATCCACACCAAACTTCGTAATAAGTTGGGCACAGAAAAGGCGGCAAAATCAGTCACAGTATTTAAACACCTAAATCAAAGCGTGAAAAAGTAGATTATTCCTTTTTTTTACTTGGAGTTCCGTAAAAAGTAATGAAAACTAAAAATTTCTTCTATGTACATTTTCCATGATTTTATATTTTAAA